CTCAAGAATAGTTGTAGAATGAACAAATGAATGAATAAATGATAGAGGTTTTTGGATATTTAAAAAGAATGTTTTGGCTTTTAAAAGAAACTTTCCATGTTTTAAAACCTAAATGCAGAATAGTGGTATGAATTGGCCAGTGAGGAAGTACCTTATGTGAAGTTTACTGCTAACATTTAAACATTTTCCCCTGCCTAGTAAAGACTTTTTGGTGTCTTCCCATTGTTCTTAGGGTCATAATACACTTTAAGATGGCTCCTGCCCCTTTGTCAGCCCACTTTCCCTTGCTCTGGGTCTCAGCCACACAACCCTCCTTTCAATTTCTCCTACCCGTGTTCCCTCCCAGTCCAGGGCCTCTGCCTGCAAGGCTTCCTCTGTCTGGATGCTCTGGCCCCCACCCTCCCCAGAGTTAACTCCTCCTCACCCTCTCCATCTCTGCTAAAGCCTCAGATCTTCAAGGGAAGCCCTCCCTGACACCCAGGCAAGGGTGATGTGCCTCAAATCACCAGGTACCTCTCCTGCACACCCCAGATCACAGGTGTGGTCTAACATGTGTTTGTGTGATTATATAGTTAAGGTTCCCATGATGGGGAACTGGGTCTGCCTTTGCTTCACCATTAACTTCTCTGGAAACTAGCACTTCTGGAAACAGAATAGGCTTTTAAAAAAATATTTGTAAGGCCAGGCACGGTGGCTCATGCCTGTAATCCCAGCACTTTGGGAGGCTGAGGCGGGCGGATCACAAGGTCAGGAGATCGAGACCATCCTGGCTAACATGGTGAAACCCCGTCTCTACTAAAAATACAAAAAATTAGCTGGGTGTGGTGGCGGGTGCCTGTAGTCCCAGCTACTCAGAAGGCTGAGGCAGGAGAATGGCATGAACATGGGAGGCGGAGCTTGCAGTGAGCCGAGATGGTGCCACTGCACTCCAGCCTGGGCAACAGAGCAAGACTCCATCTCAAAAAAAAAAATATATATATATATAAAATGAAAACATTACTTAATTAATGATATAAAAGTGACTTTTTTTGTATAGCCTCAATTTTACTGTAAGGCAGTGAAGGTAATTGTTATAACAAAAGTCAAGGAAACCCATTAAGCTCTTAATCCCCTGGTACTGTTAGAAGATGAGAGATGCTGTGGTATAGACAGGCTAGGACACAGGGCAGGTGAGTTTCCAGGGGCAGAGAGAGGAGATGAGCTTCACAGCTGCTGAGACCTGTCCCTCTGACTTGGGCAGGCATCCTCGTTATTTGAAAGTACAACAGGGCCAAACCTTCAATCCAGGAACACAGCTGGTGCTCAGATTTTTTTTTTTTAAAACAACATCATGTGGAATTTTCTTTATGTCTTTCTAATAAAACTCAAAGGATAGGAATAAAAATAGAAGAGATCATTGAAATCAGCTCAACATAAGGTAACCTTTGAGCAGTCAGCTGTGTCCCACTGTGAACTGCCTGGCCTCGAGTGGTGCATGGGGGAGAAGGGGGTGCAGAGGTCAATGTGTCTCTCCTTGTCGGGGGTGGTGTGGAGGTGATGGTGTCGGGGATGGTGTTCTCAGGTCGGGAGGAACAGGATCTGTCTGGTGACCTTTAACATGCCTTTCCACCTGGAAACCCTTCAGAGTTTATGCTCATCCTTTGTGTTAGTCAAAGCTTAAATCTCCTTCCTTACCTAACCTTTGCTAGAGAGATGAAATCGGTATTTGCCCGGCCTGCTGCTCATTGGAATCACATGGGGAGGAAGCCCAGCACCCACTTGAGACCAGTTAAATTAGAATATGTGGTGTGGGGCCCAGGTATAGGTATTTTTAAAAAGCTCCTAAGTAATTCTGAAATGCAGCCAGAGTTGACAGCCACTGTAAAACAGGTAGTGCCGTGGACGGGTTTCCTTTTTCCTTCTCCTCTGGTGCTCACTCGGTTCTCAGGCTGAATCAAGCTTGGCCAAGCCATGGCCCACAGGCTGCAGGCAGCCCCGGACAGCTTTGAATGTGGCGCAACACAAATTCATAAACTTTCTTAAAACATAATGAGATTTTTCTGTGATTTTTTTTTTAATTAGCTTATCAACTTTCATTAGTGTTAGTGTATTTTATGTGTGGCTCAAGACAATTCTTCTTCCAATGTGGCCCAGGGGAGTCAAAAGATTGGCCACCCCTGGGCTAAATGATCATAATGTGTGGCAGGCAGACTTCTGAGACGGCCACCAACAATCCTGTCTCCTGGCATTCCTGGCCTTCTGTAGGCCCTGACTCCTGGAGTGCACACTGGATTTGAACTCAGGTCCACTTAACCATCAGAGTAAAATGGCTAAGACTGTCAGAAGAGTGGGTAAGGGGAGCTAAAGAGTCCTGCATGAACTGAAAACTTGAGTGCTCAGTCTGCAGTTATCAGTGGCCTCCATCACCACAGGTCCCTCCCCCAGCTCTAACCCCAACCCAAGGGGGATGACTTAGGGCCTGGTGGCCCTTTGGTGCCCTAAGAATCCTGGATAGAACCTTTCTTCAAGGTTCTGCCCTTCTCCTTCTTTTGATCTTCTGTTGACCTCACCTGCCGATCTGAACCGGGAGCTGGCATGGCGCCTCTGTCTCTCTCAGCTAGAGAAAACCATCTTCTCAAAGCAGAGCCAATCAGAACAATGTTCTCCACAGTGTGGCTTAGGAGCTGCTTCTCTGGATCATGATTACATTCATTGCAATGGTGTGAACTCAAGCACCAGGGGCCAGGGTCTTTCCAGGATCCCTGGGTCTGGCAGTGGGCTCCTCTGGCAGAGACCACGTGCCCTCTCTTGGAGGAAGAGCAAACTGAGCCTTTCTGATTCCTGGGGCTGTTGGCATTTCTGTAGTGAAGTTTGGATTGCCAGGCCAATCAGTGCCCACTCCCTTAAATCTGACCCCAGCATCAAAAGAGCTGCTCTGGGGATTCTGTTCCATGTCCCCAGTTTCCCCCACCCCCAGAGGCCAGCAGCCCTTTTGTTGGTTTGGCTCTCAGCTTAGATCATTGAAGCGATTTCAGCTCCAACTGGGCAACACTCAGCGTTTCATTTATGTCTTGGCAAGGTTACCATGTTATTACTTAACTGTGCCGCTGCTACTCAATAAGTGGGAACTGATTGAAATAACCACAGGAGTTGCTGGATTCCCCTAATTTTAGCACAGAGTTAAAGCTCACTCCCACAGTTGGAAGTTAAAATAGGCTGCCAGCCCACAGAAATGCCCACCCACCACACCTAATTGTCACCCCACAGATGCCTGTCATGGAAGGAAACATGGAAGGCTGGAGAGAAGTTCTTAGAAGCAAGTTCTTCTCCTCAGTGGATGCCTGAGGTCATTTTGGCCAGGCCCAATTTCTTTGAGACTGTAAGCCTGGGGAAATTTGCTTGACTGCTTTAGAGACTCCTGCTTTCTTCCCTGATTTGTCTGACAGGCAGTCGAAGTACAGAGTGCTCATTAGAACGACTGCAGAGAACAGAAACTCCTGTCTGGGGGTGTCTCCTTAAATGACTCATTCCTGGAGTCCAGATGTGGGGAGGGCAAAGACCCTGAGAAATCTATGTAATTTGGAAAGCAGAAAAGAGACTTAATCCAAGTTAACTTGCTTTCTCTTGGTGTCATGGCCATCAACCACAACCCAAATGACACCACTTGAAGAAAAATTTGAAGTAAATGCCATCTTGTGAAACTTCCCCCATCCCAGAACACCCAAATTATTTTTTTGTTTCTTACTATTGTAAACTAGATGTTACTAGATATGTTCTGAAGGCTTCTATGAAAAGTTATTTCTCATAGTGAGCCTGCTTCTTAGTATTTCTCATACCTGTGAAATTTTGTGTTCTCTTGTACCTACTTTAAGTTATAATCTGCTCTTAACATCTTAGTACAGCATAGTCGACCAAACCGTAGGGGATTAGAATGTGGAGATTTTTAGAGAAAGGGAAAGGCTTTATCTGCAAGGTGTTTCCTAAGGGGACCCTGGGAAGCCTCCAGAGTTCTTGGCAGTGGACAGTTCCCAGTCTCCCAGGCTTCATGGCCTCACAGCTGGACTGTGTGGGAGCCTCCTGACACTGGTTTTGATGATTAGCATCAGATTAATCATCTTTAGAAGTATCTCCCTCCGTGCCAGTCTCCTGCCCAAAAATGTCCATGACTCTTTTGCCTGTAGGATGAAATCCAAATCCCCTAGGCTTTCTTTCTTTTTTTTCTCTTTCTCTTTCTTTCTCTCTCTCTCTCCCTGTCTTCCTTCTTTCTTTCTTTCTCTCTCTCTTTCTCTCTCTCTTTCTCTCTCTCCTTCCTTCCTTCCTTCCTTCCTTCCTTCCTCCCTCCCTCCCTCCCTTTTCTCTTTCTCATTTTGTCACCCAAGCTGGAGTTCAGTGGCACAATCATGGCTCACTGCAGCCTCAACTTCCTGGGTACAAGCGATCCTCCTGCCTCAACCCCCTAAGTAACTACAGGTGCATGCCACTACGTGTGACTAATTTTTGTACTTTGTGTAGAGACGGGGTTTTGCCGTGTTGCCAAGGCTGGTCTCAAACTCTCGAGCTCAAGTGATTTGCCCACCTTGGCCTCCCAAATTGCTGGGATTATGGGCAGGAGCCACCGCCCTTGGAGGCTTTCTTTCAATAAACTGGTGCCTAACAATATGCTGCCCTTAGGTGCCATTTCCACTCCCTGAAAACTCCTTTCTAACCAGACTCATTGTCTCCTTAACACACCTGACCAAACCTACCTCCTTGCCTCTGTCAACTTATACTCCACATATGCCATGGCTTCTCCTGTCTACCCTGCTGGGTCTCATCCAACCTTCCTACCTGCTTAAGGCTCAGCTTACCTTGCTGTTCTATAAGTAACTTTTCCTAATCTTTCCCAATATATAGTGATTTCTCCACGTTTGAATTTCTACAAATACTTTTTGTACAATTATCATGGTGGTCCTTTTTTTTTCAACTAGACTCCTTGAGTGTCCTACTCCTTGTAACTATTTGCTAATTGATTATTCTTTCAGAGTCAGTATTTCAAGCATCCAATATGTGTAGGGGAATATGGACCCAAGAATGGAGCAGAAAGACAAATAGAGGAACAGAAAGTTTTGCCTACAACCATGATGTTCTCAAGGTTAGCTGACTGTGCTCTGAAATCCACCCAAATTCCCATTTTGGGAGTTGCTGTGTGACGAAGGTCTGCCCCTGTGGTGTTGGGACGACTTGCTCATGGAGTTACAGTTCTTGCCTAACAGGAACCCACCACGGTAAGACAAAGACTCAAGCTGGTTCATTTGTTTTTAAGGTTGCAAGGACATCAAGTCCATAACCACACTTGCTCTCACATTTACTGAAACAGGTCAATCTCAGAACTAAATGATAAAAATGAAAATTAATCAGGGACTCCCATGGGCCTCACATATGGCAGTTTTGAATCTGCTCTTTTTTTCACTATCATAATTGTTTTTTTAAACTCATTTTCTCTGGTTGAATACACAACTGTAAAAAAAAGTGGGGGTAGTGGTGGTGATGGAAATGAATAAACCCATGGAAACAGTGAGACATCTACAGAGACAAAATTAGGAAGGAAGGAAACAAAAGCAATTTCAGTATCTCTGTGCAAGGCCTGCATACCTTTCCTTGCCAATACCCCTGGATCAGACTTGTCTCATGAGGTAGCAGGTGTTTCCTTGACTCACACAGAAAACAAGCCCTTGGGCTTCTTGTGCTGTTAGGGCGAGTTACATTCAGCACATGAGCACTGGGCCCTGCTCTGCCTGTCCATCCTTCCCAGAAGAGACAAAAATGATCAAGTAGTTGAGAAAACAGTTCAAGAGGAGCCTTTGTCTCTTTTCTTTTCTTTTCTTTTTTTGAGACAGAGTCTTGCTCTGTTGCCCAGTCTGTAGTGCAGTGGCATGATCTCGGCTCACTGCAACCTCCGCCTCCTGGGTTCACGTGATTCTCCTGCCCCAGCCTCCTGAGTAGCTGGGATTACAGGTGCCCACCACCACACCTAGCTAATTTTTGTATTTTTAATAGAGATGGGGTTTCACCGTGTTAGCCAGGATTGTTTCAATCTCCTGACCTCGTGATCCACCCGTCTTGGCCTCCCAAAGTGCTGGGATTACAGGCTTGAGTCACCGCACCTGGCCCTGAGGCTTGAGTCACCGCACCTGGCCCTGTTTCTTTTATTAATTTGAGCCAACTTAAAGTAAAAACACTTCTTAACATTGTAAAGTAGGGCTATGCCCCATCCACTGAATTTTTGTAAAAAAGTCAAATAGGGATAGAAAGCAAGCAGCCAGATAGAATATCATGCCCCAGAACGCCATTTACCTTGGTAGAATGCTACCACTTTAACACATAGAAACCTTTTCACACCAGTTAACAAATAGCATTAAGCATGATTCAAGTCAAGATTTTAAAAACTTGGCTGATGCCTCTCATTAAGAATTGAAACCTGTATAAGACTCTTGCTCTGGGAAACTGCATTCTGACATTTTAATAGTATTGCCTTAGCAAGAGTAGAAAATCCATGAACTTAGATTCACAGAAAGTAAATCAAGAATCCATCCAAAATGGAGTGCCTCTTGCTGAGTGATGGGATAGTTTCATGTGAGATGTCAGTGCAGCTTCTACACTTGACATAAAAGTTCCCATTAAAAAAGAAACGGAACCGCTGCTCAATTTTTTTTAATCAAGCAGAGTTATCTAAAGTGCTTTTTAGAAGAGACTATTAGGACAGGAATGGAAAGTAGTCATTATGACTAATCTGCTTTAGGAGTTGGGGTAACCAGTATTACAGGAGGGACTTTCAGTGCCATGGGGACATTTTAGGCAACTCAAATTCCTTCAATTGTTTGCAGTGGTCCTCTTGAGGGGATGTAATGAGCTGACATGCACCAGAAGAGATAGAATGCACTGCCAGCTGGTAGTTTACTCTTGTACAGGAAGGCTGCTTTTCTCGTACACCATTCTTTGTTGTGTTAAAGAGACATAAATATATAAAAGCCTAAAAGTAAGCTTTCAATTCTTTATGTCTGGCAAAATTGTCGGTACAATGTGCCTTGAAGATATATCCACAGTGCTGTCTTAAAGGGTTGTTATGAAAGAATAAGCTCATACTATAATAACCACCCCATACACTTTACAGTTTATAAAGAACTTACATATACATTTTCTCAGTTGAACCTCACAACATCAGTGGGAGGCAGGGGAGGCAGATATTATTATCTCTTGAGAGGGAGTGACCCTGCTGCTGCTGCTGCTGCTGCTGCTGCATATGTGTGGCTTTTGGTTTAGGAAGACTAAGTTGATTGTGTTGTATTTTCAAGTATTTTATATTGTACAAAGATGTTTATTGCAGCACTGTTTATAACAAGGAAAAACTGGAACCTACTCAAATGCTTGCTAATAGGGGAATGATTAAACTGTGGTACAGGCCTAAATATGACTCTGTAGTCATTAAGAATTTTGATGAAGTATTAGAAATAAATGTATTGACATTGAAGTATATTTATTGATGAAGGAAATTGTTCACAATATTTCAGCCAATAAACAATAGTATATGCATTTTTTGTAATAGGAAAAAATGCACATGGTAAAATAGCAATTATCTTTGTGTGCTGTGAATATGTATGATACTTGTTTTCTTTTTCATGTTCATCTATCAATTCTAATTTTAGTGTCAATAAATATTTAAAATGTACTATCTGACATTTTCAACGAGAAAAACTTTTACAATGATAGCTAATGGAAAATATATGGCTCCACCTCTGGGCCTCATGGGTAAAGTGATCCTGGGCATGTAGATGTGTCAGCCATGGTCATGGCAGGGCCCTGAGTTCAACCAGATGGCACAAATGGAGTGTGGATCAGGTGTGGCTTACAGTGCTGTGCAAAGGCATAAGGAGCAAACAAGGGTGACAAGTCACCAGACACCAGCAATACTGGGAAGCCACGATCACTCCTAGGGCCAGAAGGACAACAGGAGGAAATAGAGTTACCAGAGCCCTGGGGGCAGGAGTTGTGAAGGAACTCCCCTTATTCCATGGGAGGTGCAACAGCAAAGCATCGCAGATTTTGTCAGACACCAGTGAGGCCGGGAAGAAGTGCCCTGACCTCTTTCCTCCTGCATTTTCTGCTGGTGCCTTCTGCTGACCAAGCCCTATGGGAAGCCAGCTGGCAGGAGATTCCTAGAGTCAGCTTCCTGGTGCATAGAAAGGGGCAAAGCAGGGCAAAAAATGGGTCTGGCCATGGGGCCTGTGCAGCAAACACAATGAGCAGAATGTCAGTCCCCGGGAGAAAAGGGGTATTTCTTAAGAAGCTGAAACAGAAAGGAAGAGCCTGTTGGGGCAGGATGGCCTGAGTAATTTGATTTTTTTGCCTGTGCTCAGAGCTTCAAACATGTGGGGATGGGATCACAGATCACCTAATGCAAACTGAGAGCAAAATTTCTTCATGGAATTTTATTCAGAGATAAAATTGTGTACTTTTAGACCCCAATATTATCATCCTTGCTGCTTGAAGAGAAGAGGGGACTGCCAGGGAAAGGAAGACCCAAGTCATCTCCGACGTACCTCACTGCTTCCTGCTGTCCCATCTTTATTCCCATGCTGTCTTTCACTTCAGTGTCTTCGTCACCAGCCCCACATGATAGCTTAACAAGAGGTAGCATGCATCTAGTGAGCACTTGCTTAGAGTAAGCAGTGGGGGGAGGCACTGTTTGTGGTAGGCACGCAACATGATTAACTCATTTAATTCTCACAACAACCCTATGAAGAAAGTGACATTGTTCCCCAATCTACTGAGCAGCTAAGAACATTGATAATGGAGCCATGCTGCTTAGATCTGAATGCTGCCTCTGCCATTTCCCAGCTATGTGACTCAGTTTTCTCATCTGTAAATGGGGATAATAATAGTGTCTACCTACTGGGATGTTTGTGAGGATTAGTTGGAGAAATACGAGTAAAGTGTTCTGAACTGGGCTTCATGTAGCAAGCCTGTCTCCAGTTCCCACGTAAGGAAACTGAGGTACAGAGATGTTAAGGTACTTGCCTCAAATCACAGAGTTGATAAACAGCAGACCTGGACTCTGACCGGGAAGTGGGGGTCCTCCATGCAGGCTCTGAATCACTATCCAGTATTGCATAAAAGGGCCGTCCTCATTCCCTCCCTGCTACTTTGAGCAGAGAGAATGGGATCACCCTCTTTAACTGCTGAAATGAGTCTCTCACATTTTGGAACACACTCTCCACTGCCCAGATGAAGATCTGCAGAAATCTCATCCATGCTTCACACTGTACTCCTCCAGGGTCACTTCCCACTCGCTCCAGGCAGAATGAAGAGTGCAGATCCCCAGCAATGGTCAGCAACAGATGGGGGCAGGGGTGTAGCGGCTTTTTTGTTTCATCTTCCTTGGGATCAGACAGAATGGAGACTGGAGTTGTGAGGTTTTCAAGGCCTAGGTCAGCAGGTGGGTCCTTAGTTTCCAAAATATACACCACAGAGAGTCATGACTAAAGCATACTCCAGTTCAGCTATCTGCTCTGGGCCAAAATAGGGGATGGGGCAGCCTCTTTCCTTGCATGGAGGATGCCAAGCATGTCACCATCATCAATTAATCCCCTAACCTATGTAGGGTAAGGAGCAGTCACCTGGGTAAAATAATGAGGAAAAACCAACATGAAACATCGAGGTAACTGACAGAACTCAGATGGGAATTCAAGAATTCTTTAAGCCTGGGCCACAGCATGATCTCTCGTGCTCTTTATTTCATTTCTTGGAAACTAGCTTACCTGTATTTCTTTCTTGCCTTCCTCTTAGCCAGGGGCTTTATAACAAGATTTTTTGTCAGTCTCATCTTTCATTTCTGAGTGAAATATGGTCAATTTCTAATGACAACAGAACACACCGAAAGCTGTATCACCAGTGAGTCAAAAGTCCCCAATATAATGTCCATGACTTATTGAAAACACAACAATCAAGAGGCCATTCAACAAATCTCTTTTCCTTCCATTCTTTTCTTCTTTCTTTTTTTCTGGCCTGGTATTCAATGTACATTGAAATAATATGAATGCAACAAGATGTCCTCAATTTCACAGGTGCCTAGTGACCAAAGTCAAAAGAGATTGCCTAGTGTTCATAGAAAACAGAAACTCTTCCAAAAACTTCATGTACAAGTGAAAAGTGTATAATGTAAGTTTGCAAAATGTTGGTTGGTGCTTCATTTTCTCATTTTACTCATCTTTATAAAGTTGCTGTTAGG